TTGTGAATGGATCTTTTGAGCTCTGGGATCTTGATGAATTCAACATTAGCCATTCTGGTTCACTCTAATTGTTGCAAAATTGACACTTTTCATGGAACCTACTGTCTACTATTGTTTCAAGTTTCTCTTCAGTTTGTGTTTTGATGTAATTGTATTATGGAACAACGTTTGTCACCGACCCTCCCCGGAGCCCATTTGTGGGATTGCACTGAATATGTTGTTGTTGTTGTTGTTTCGTTGTTGTTGTTGTTTGTCACCGAAATAAAATTTTCTTGGCTCTTTGGGTCTTTTGGGCTTAATCTAAGATTTTTCTTCGACTTATACTCATTTCACAATTTTCACTTGAGATTGTTTTTTGGAAAATTACCAGCTATGTCCATTTATAAGTAGCTCATTACAAAAATTGACCAATTGATAAAATATTACTAATATTAACCAAATTAGCCAATTAGCTATTTGTAGCAAAAAATATCAAATTTTTGCTTTGTTTTGAGTGGGTGTTATTAGAATAGATTGGGCACAACTTAAGGAGCTTGAATCTCAGTTTTGGGATGATTTGGTGAAGTTTTGAGGTGGTTTGAATTGAAAATTCGAAGTAAAAGCTGAACATGAAAAAAAATGATATGTGTATCGGACTGTGTATCATTTGTGTATCACATATGTATCAATTGTGTATCACATGTATATCCATGTATACCTGTGTGCGTGATACATGCGTGATACATGTTTGATACATGTGTCGCAGAAGACTTTTTTGAACTCGATTTAATTATGAATTTTGATACAAAACCAGTCCAAATCACCTCCAATCTTCCTCAAATTTTGTATATTGACTTATCTATATATTTTCAATGAATTTCAACTATACCCATTGAAAAAGTTCCTTTTTTGTTTAGATTTTTGGAATATTATATAGATTTTTGTATTTTATCACCTTATTTGCTACCCCGTCCATGAAATTTCCTTTCCGTCTTACATCTAATGTTGCTAATCACGCTTAAAAATATGAAAGGTGATTTTTGCATGTGATTCTTTGAGAGAAAGAACCCTATTATTTGGTTTTTCAATTTTTGTTGGCTAGTTTTGGTAAGTGTATGACTAATGGCTAGAGGTTGGTAAGTTGAGATTTATTTGGGACATTTGTGTAAGTTTCCCAATAAAAAATTACTCTGGACCAAATTGGAAAAGGAAATTTACACCGATAACTTATAGAGGAGAAATTTAATGGGAAATTAAAGTGGCAGTTGTCTGTGATTTCAATAACAGAAAAATAATGATACAGTAAACTACCAATAGGGTAAGAACTTTTGGAAGAAAATTAACAAGAAGATACGATACACATTAACTCTAATTCATAGTTTCATTCAACCGTTCAAAATCATTCGTGACCGAGCTGGAAACAATTTTGATCTTGAAACTATCAAAAACAAAAATAGACAATAATGAAGCCTAAAATGAGTACGATTAGAGTCTAATACATTATTTTGTATATAAATGGTAAGAATTCGAAGGTTGGTAAACAAAAAATAGGAAAACCAAAGAGTGCACACAAAAATCCTCCTTAGGAATTTATTTTCTCTATGTCCAACATGATTACAATACATGTTATTGTTATCTACTACAGGCTAATATAAGCTTTGAGGAACAAAAACTTTTCCTTTTCCTAAGGTAGCCTCAATTTAGAAATTGTCCAAAATGAGAGCTACCTTTCAAGGAATGGGATGAATGACAACTTTTCCAGTAGCTCTGCCAGTTTCAAGATAAGAGAAAGCTTCCACTACCTTATCAAATGGGAATGGTCCTTTTGGATCAATTACTGGTTTCACCTTTCCACTTTCCAAGTATGGGTTCAGTTTCTTCAACATCTCTCCATTTGATGTCACTACAAATCTAAAACCTGGTGGAGTTACTGCCCCTGTTAGCACTACCACACTTCCTCCTTCTTTCACTGCCTTCACCGCCTTTTCGCCCTGACCTGTAGTTTTTAAATGAAAAGTTGGCTATTAACGAACTTTACTGTGATAGTGGCTAAAGTTCAATTTAACGTAGTGTGTAAAGTTCAATTTCTTTAATGTGAGGAGAAACATATAATTTGGTGACATTAGTATTATAGGGACAGAGTTTAGTGATCATATGTAAAATTAACTTGAGTGTCGAGCATTTTTTGGTCTTGTGGGATTTTATTGGATCGTTGTTATTGTTGTATCTTGTCCTGCCAGTGTCTATACTAGATTGAATATTGTATAAGTTGCAACAGAGTTCTTACCAACTGTATCATAAACAACATCAAACTTTTCAGGCAGATCTTCAAAATTTTCCTTGGTGTAGTCAATAGCTAAATCAGCTCCTAAGCTTTTCAGGAGTTGTAACTTCCCTGTGCTGGAGGTAGCTGCTACTTTTGAAGCACCAAATACATGTTTAGCAACCTACATCACACAATAAACTCAGATAGCTGAACTTGCCTTGCTAGAAGGCAACACTATATATAATTATGCCTCAATCCTGAGCAAGTTAATACTGGCTATATGAATCCTCATTGACCATGTAGCTCCATTTGAGTTATCTTATTTCTAATATAGGATAGTAAAACTAAAAAGACACTAGAAATTTTCTATATTTTCTACTCGCATGTAAATATCTTACACGACTAGAAGACTCTTAGAAAGTAAATGGATCTAAAAGAAATATACTAACATGACTAAACCGTAATCACAACTAATTGGTATCGCGTACAACTCACTTAGATGGCACAAATTTGGATCTAATTATGGACATACATGTTTTTGGAACAAACAATTCCTACTATAATTGCTAGTCAATCAAGTTGCTGAATGAATAAAAATGATGGTTAATTCTTAAGTCATAATTCACAACTAATACTCCCTAAATATTCTCAAGAAATCAAGCTTTTAAAAAACTGAAGTAATACATTCAAATGGTTTAAAATGTGCATGTACCTGAATTACAAGGGATCCAACACCACCAGCACCTCCCAAAACAAGAATGGATTTGCCAGCAGAGAATCCAGCTTTCTCAAGACCTTCATAAGCAGTTTCAATAGCTAGGGGAAGACTAGCAGCCTCTGCAAAACTCAGATTCTTGGGTTTCAAAGCAACTAGTTTCTCCTCTACAGCAGTGTACTCAGCTAAAGATCCAAATTGCTTTGGTCCATCTAATGCTTTCTCATGTATATCTCCATACACTTCATCCCCTTCTTTTAGCCCCTTTACTTCACTGCCAACTTTCACTACCACACCAGCAACATCATAACCTGGCACAGTCTACACAAAAACAACACTTATTTTACAACTATTATTAGGACCACACAATAGAGAATATTTTGCAACTTTATGTTAATGTTTGAATTGTGTGACCATCTCATTTAAATATTTAAACTATTACATAGGGTACCATAAACTTCAAAATGCCCCCTCATGTGCGGGTTTGATTCTTTTTCATGGGCCAAGCACATAATTTTCTTTTCTATAATAGATAATGGAGAGACTTGAACCCGTGATTTGTGTTTGCTTTGATACCATGTTATATAGCATGGCCATCATGGCATCATCCAAAAGATTAAACTCTTAGAGATAATACTTTTATTTAATTAATTATATCTTCAACAGTTATAGGATAGTACAAATAGTCTCTACTTTATTGGTAAATAAAGCCTCCAATAATTTCTAAAATGTACATAGAAAAGTAGTTGAACATTTTATGTGCTGAAACCTAAGGAGGAAATTTGCACAAACACTATGAAACAATTGATGACAAATGCAATTTTACAATTTAAACATGGAATTCAAACCAAACTCAAGATAACAAGAAAAAAGGGTGGCTAAACTTACTGGAAGTGGAGAATCAGTGGCCTTGAATTTTCCAAGCCGACGCTTAAAATCAACAGGGTTAAGAGCAGCAGCAACAACCTTAATCAAGACTTGATCTTCCTTAATTTCTGGAACTGATACATTGGACTCAAACTTCAAAACATCAGCACTTCCATAATCAGTATAAGTCCAAGCTTTCATTTCAGAAGGAATAGAAGTGCTTGTTGATGTTTCAACAGAAGCAGCTTGAGAACTAGCAGAAACTCTAAGTGGCAAAACAGTGGAAAATTGGCTCCTTTGAATGTAATTTTCAGTTTTTCTACTACCCTTTAACCTAAGCACAGAACATGAAGAAAATGGAGAATGAAGAGAAGAGAAAGAAGAGGGAGTGTGAAGGGGTTTGAGTTGAAGAGTAGTGGAAGATAACAGAGCTTCCATTATTCTTCTTCTTTTCAACTGTTTTTACCTGAATCTGTTTTTCCTCAAAGCTTAACTTTATCTGTGTGGTAGAGGGGATGAATGCTTGTTGTGGGTTTCTTTTTGGGTAGATTTCAATTTTCAGCCATCCATTTGTTACTAACTTAGTGATTTGAAATATCCTGTCCTCAAATTTTTCCCTCTGGTTTTTTTATTTTTTTATGTGAGAAAATAATAGCCACAAACTAACAAGAGCATTGAAGAGACAACATATACGGGCTTTATGGAAATTTTTTTGAAGTTTCAATTTGTTGGAGGCTAGTGACTATGGGTAGATAAGATTTCAAATATAGGTTTTTACATTTTGTTAGCACCTTTTATTACTGAAAGTGTGCATCATACAGTTTTCTATGATTTCTGTTGACGGTACTGATATATTGTCTCTTCTTGTCTTTTCTGTCTACTTAAGTTGAGGGTCTATCGGAATCAGCATCGAACTTTACTTATGTTAGTGATTAATAAGCCAGACATGAAACCTTGAAGGTGAAGCAGCAGATGGCCATTTAAAGAACCAAAGCTAAAAAAATAAGAGTTCAAATTACTATGCGCTACCAGTGTCTGAGAATTTTTACGCTATTAGTGCAATTTAATCGTTATAGCATGTTATTATTCTTTTAGGTTATACCAAGAGTTACTTATTATATGTCAAACTTAACATGAAAGCGTAAAAAAAATATACTGTTGGTGCACATAACATAATCTCAAAAAATAGTCACTAGCGTGACAAGAGGCTCTAGATTGTTACATATACTAGAAGCTCAGACATAAAAATGATACAAAATTACACAAATCGGATGTACAAGATGAATTAGAGGTCACAAAGTTAAAGTGGATCTATTACTAAAAGAGGCTTGAGTGTTTTTCATCAAAGATTCGCTCTCAGTTCATTTCTTCTTGTTTTGGAGCACATTTTGGATGCAGCCCATAATCACAACGTTTGCAGAAGAAAGACCACCCATACCCCATCTCCTTGCACCCACTGCAAAGATAAACTTGCTGATGTATTAATGCAAGTTCATGCTCATTGTGAATTTCATCTTTGCCTTTCTTGGGCCAACCCATTGTATTTTTGTCGAGTCGTTGCTGCAGATTCTTTATGTGTTCTTCTGTGAAGGGATAGGCTCCTGCACCATGTGTCTCTAACAGCTGCCTTACTTGTGTATTGACAGTGCAGCCACTAGTACTAATTGCTATGGCCACCGGAATGCCTACTATGTTGAATCTGCGCGACAGAAACGCCTTCCTGTCATCGTCGAAAGGGAGTGCTAACCAGGGCATACTTGAAAATAAGTTATTAAAGGAAGATTCATCTTGATCACTAGAGATGAAAATCATTTCAAAATTTTCATCTTTCTTCTTGATTTCTTGGTATGTAGTAATGAGTTTGGGTAGAAATTCTCTACTTGGGAGACTCCAACTTGCTGCAAAATACAGTACAATGTTGTTCCCCACTAGTTTAGACACAGGACCTAAAACAAGAACAGCAAAAAAATAGCATGATTAGCAAACATCAACTTTATCTCTCCCTTTGAAATGAATTCATATTTTCAATCGACGAAAACTTACCCTTAAACCACCATTCGAAATGACAAAATCTCGATCTGCAGTAACAAGAATAGACTCTAATGTTTGTGCTTCTAGTTTTTCCTTCTTTAGATTAGCCAAAGTAACAAGCTTTTCTTGTGTGAAAGGAAAGGCTTGATCACCATATTCTTCAACAAGTTTAACTGCATTTTGCTGCAGAGTCTTCCCATCTGGACTAATTACAACTAGCTGCGGTAGAAGTTTATGCTCAAAGTACCTAACAAGTCTCTCGCAGTTCTTGTCCTTGAAAGCTAAAGCCAACCATGGCATGGTCTCAAAGCCTTGTTTAAAATCCTCATATTTTTCATCCAGAGAAATAAGCACAATTTCAAAATTCTTTTGTTTAAGCTTTTTATATACATCTACTAGCTTCAAGGTGAAATTCTTGCACCCTTTATGAGAAGCCATAACAAAATATAGGCCAACTGTTTTCCCTTCAAGCTCTGACACAGAAATCTGAAAAAAAAACATGTTGAAATTTAAGCACAAAAACCTGAAATGCATAGAAATCATCAAACTTGAGGACGATTATTACCTTGCTTTCTTCGTTTGAAATCAAAAAATCGCGGGATTCATGTACCAAAATAGACCTCAAAGACTGATTCTCTTTAGCCTTCTCTTCGTCTTCTCTCAAGTAATTTACTCTTTCAGATGTAAATGGATAGGCTTCAGGACCAAAGTGTTTGATAAATTTAACGCCCTCATTGCTCAGAACATTGCCTGTTCCATCAAGAATCACAAGATGTGGAATTGCCCTTACTTTGAACAACTGCTTTAAGTTCTTACGCGCCTCAACATCAGAAAATGGAACAGCAAGCCATGGCATTTTCCCAAAGTATTCAATAAATGGTTCATTATCTTTATCAGATGAAATGAATAACATTTCAAAGTCACCTTTAGGATAAAGATCCTCATAAGCTTCCACCAACTTCGGTGTAAACTGGCGACATAAACCACACCACGAACCGGAGAAATACAAGCCCACAATCTTTCCCTTTATGCTGCTAGTTCTAATCTACAAACAAGTATATAAGAGTGGTGATCAAGTTGGTTCTTATTCGATCCTTCATATTCTCAGATAAGACTATAGAGGAAGTATGCAAGTTAAGAACTCTAAAAATATAAGCGTGTAACATACCTGTTCACCATTTCTACATATTAGAAAGTCTCTTTCCTCTGAAGACAGTACAACCGCGAGATCATGAGGGAAACTTTCTTGATCAATTGCCATAGCCATCAGTTCTGATTCTTATATCCTCAGAACTGTACAGTATATAACATGTTTCATTTGATATGTTCTGTTTGATTCTATCTTAAAGAAAATGGATAATGTAGCTGGGAATGTGAGCACTTGCCGGTCAATTTCATCTGAATTTTCAAGCTGGCCGGCCGTGCCGCAAATACATATTAAATTGGTTTTAAGTGCATTATTGAATAAGTTAATCCCCTCAAATGGTTTTTAATTAGCCTTTATTCTGAGTCGTGTGAACATGGACTAGAAGTATTATAGCTGCCTAGATCAAACTTTGAGCAACATTTTATTACAATGTGTTACAATATTCTAAACAAATCCACCAAGTATATGATAGTGACAAATGAAATGATATACAATTATTTAGGTGGACAGTGGAATCTTGATTCCTCAACTTCCAGGATTCCTTTATATATGCTGCTTTGTCTTTACTGAGAAAAGCTACAGCATTTGCCTGCCGGCTTCTGCCAGTAGACTAACTATAAAACTCCCTTTAGAGAAACAAAATTGTCTTTGTTTCTGTGTCTTTTTTATGGGGGCTGATAAAACATGCTTAGTTACAACTAGTGAGTTTTTTAACAAATTCTCTACCCCCATAAGTTGAAAGATGAGAGCAATATTTGGTACATAACCATTACTACTTTCTAGCTAATGTTTAGAGGATTCATTTAACCCTTGTGCATTTGCTAATACTACTGAAATCACAGCTCATTGTACTAGATTTAACTAATCAATAATGTGATTTTTTTTCCTGTACATTAATATTTTAATGTATTATTTGAAGGAGGGTCTATCAGAAACAACATCTCTACTCCTCCAGAGTAGGAATAAGGTCTGCGTACACACTACCCTCCCCATACCCTCTTGTGGGTTTATACTGAGGAGTTGTTGTTTTGTTGTATTTGAAGGAGATAAGTAGTAAAATTTAACTTATAGAGCTTATTGATGTAAATTATTACAAGCTTTTCCAGTCCAGATAAGTGACATCATTTTCATGTCAATCATCTCATTCTAAGACTTTTTGTCAGATTTGGAGGGAGTTGGGAGCATTTGGACTGTAGTAAAAAAGAATAGATCATTATCATACAATAGATGTGCCTTGTATTATAAAACATGGTCATAAAGCAAGATTAAAACCATCAACCCGTCCGTAAGGAACGGCCCAGTTAGGTTTGGAGGGCGCTGTCCACACAGGCGACGCAGGTTCGAACCACCTCAATGCCCTCTGAGTCTGAGCCTGTCGCACGAGACTTGCCTAGTGCGGTTTACATCTCCTGTGTGGTTTGCAGGCTATTACACAGTGGGGGGTTTACCCGGTGCGCACAGAGTGCTCACCTGAAGGGCAGAGGTTGTAGCGGCTACGGGTTTTCCTGGGGTTCCAAAAAAAAAAACATCAACCCATAATAACAAATTAACATTTGTAACAAATTTCACCATCACAAACCCATCCTTCTTTTGGTTTCTGTTCCTCTTTGGCCTTTGCCTTCCTCAGGATCCATTTTGTTTTCCTTTCTCTTCTAGAGCACATTTTTGGTGCAAAAAAATTCACATTCATCAGAAAAGAATGAGCATATCCTACTGACTCACTGCATCCAGCACAATTGAAGTTTGTCCTTGAGCTTCTCCGGCTACCCCTTTGCTTTTTCTGCAAATTCTGCCTCAATCTCGTTTATATGTTTCTCAGTGAATGGATAAACATCAGCATCATAACACATGATCAAATTTCTGGCTCCAGTTGTAACAGTCATTCCTGATGGCACTATAGCTACCAACATAGGGATGCCACGAACTTTGAAAGGCGACTCAAGGATGCCTTCCTTTCATCACCAAAGAAAAGAGCTAGCCGTGGCATTGTAGCAAATAGTCATCAAACGAGGCTTGATCTTGGTCACTAGATATGCACTTCCAATAGACCATTTGTGGTTTTAATTTTGTTATATGCTTCTGTCAGCTTTGGTGTAAAAGCACGGCACGGAGGACACCAGATTGCAGAAAGGTAAAGGAGAATATGCTTCCAGACAGACACCAAAATCTACAAATAAAAAGTTTTGATCACTTGTTGTAGTTAAGGATAAGCGCAAGATATCAACAAAAAGGGTGTCATGTTAATAATAATATAGTAGTCAAAGCATAGTGAATGACATGTACAGAAAGTATATCTCATGCCTAAGCTGATTAATGATAGATGATTGTGAAACTCCAAAGCTCCAATATCTTATGTAAGAATAACTCATGTTAAATAGACTCGGCTTACTGACATGTAAGTATGGGTATAGACCAATAGATATGTGCATATTTTGTTAAATTAACTGGGGTTCTGAAAAATCTGAACATAGTACCTACACCATGTATCATAGAACATAACAATAACACCAAGATGTGATGTTTTCATCTTACCTTTTAACTATCTTTTCCAATGACGGAATTACATATCTCCATCGATTCCAGTGTCTCTGCTTCTCGCTTAGCTTTCTCTATCTGCTCAACTTCAAAAAACTTCTCACGTGTAAAAGAATATGACAGGATGCAATGCTCCTCTATGGCTTCAACAACATTAAAATGAAGAGCCTTCCCGTCTGTTCCAATGATGACTAAGGTAGGAATGGTAGAGAGCTTAAAATAATGGGCCAGCTTGTCACAGGTCTTCTCCATCAAGGGAAGTGAAAACCAAACGCATGCTTGCAAACCCCTTCTTTAAAGGTTCATCATCAAGGGGAATCGTCACGATCTCAAAGTTTTCTCCTGGTGGCTTCAGCTTGGCATAGATCTCAATCAGCTTCTGAGTATACGATTCACATTCTTCGAATGAGGTCATTGAGAAATACAGGCCTACCATCTTGTTATCAGGAAAAGTGAAATATCATTGAGGCCAATATAAATTAAAGAACAAGAGTAAAAATGCAGAATCTTGATAAGAAATGGCATCTTGAATCAACCTCCCTTTCATCAGCTGCAATTAAAACGTTTACTGATTGCAACTCCAAGATAGATTTCAAAGATTGTTGAAGAGAACTCAATATCTAAGAAAAGCATCAGCACAGCTTCTGGAACAGAAAGTTAAGGATGCTATTTGACAATCAAAAAACTTCAATGCTATTTGAAAAGGGTTGCAAAACAAAACAATTCCAGAGCCTAAAGATGTTGTTTCTGGATCTGTCAGCCCTGAAAGGTCCACAAAAAAAAGAGCTGCAAGAAAACTTCAAGCACAACATTGTAGAGTGCAACAAACAAACGCTTCCAGAACCAAGCATCCATAACATTTGGCTTGCCATAAGGGTTAGATCACAAAAAGAACATTATTACTTACATAGACAAGTTAAAGTTTTTACAATTTCATCAGCAGTAAATCACATACAAAGCACAAGTTCTAATGTGCCAAGAAAGAAAACCACTTCCACTCATGGAAAATCATCATAAAATTGGAAGAACTTGGACAACCTAACAAATTCAAAGCAAGTTGTGATGAATATGCAGACACACACTTCTCTGAACAGTTCCAGCATTTTCTGCTCTTTGGTAAGATAACGAAAATCTCCAAAACCATTGCATTTTTTAGCAAAGATTTTGAACATTTGAAAAGCTTATCATGGCAAAACCAACAAACCCCAGCGGAGCAGATAATCTTAATATTCTTGAGATTCGGAAACGAAAGTCCGAAACCCAACTCTGCAAATCAATATTATATCCTTTGTCACAAAACATGACTTAGAGCAACACAGGAAAATATTTAACATGGAGATAGACAGTATAATCTGGATCAAATACAGGTCCAACGTTTGATAAAACTTGTATTGCAACAAAAGAGACAAAACAACTAATTTCATGGTAGAAGTGTCTCACAAAGATCGATTTTTCAAACCCCACGAATATGCTTCCTACAAATGATTTTGAAAGAAAATTCATGTCTCAAGACTGAAGGCGTAGGGAAACAAAGCAAGGAAATGAAAGAAGTTCAGTTTGTGTGCTTTCCCCTTTTTTCCCTTTCAGAGCAATTTTACCATGGAGAAAGCGAAAGTTCCTAACCAGATCGACATGAAACTTTACGTTCATTGAAACCAAGATGGACTTAGCTTTTCCAGGCAATATTAAGTGCCATCATGTCTCATTTATCTAATTTATGTTCTTTGATCTGACATCTACAAAAGGGAGTGAGCATATGGACCAAGAATGATATTTATTAAATATGCCTTATAATGAAACATAGTTCTGTCTGAATAAGACACGCAGTACAACATAGTCATAAAACAAGATTAAAACCTAAGAACCCATAATAAATAAGTTAACTTTTGGAACAAACTTCACCATCACAAACCCATCCTTCATTTGGTTTCTTTTCATCTTCGCCTTGCTCCTTTTGATCTTCCTCAGGATCCAAGTTGTTTTCTTTTTTGTCTGCAATTTCTGCCTCAATCTCCTTCATACGCTCCTCGGTGAATGGAAATGCCTCAGCACCATGATGCATGATCATGTTTCTGGCTCCAGTTGTAATAGTCTTACCCGATGGCCCTATAGCAACCAACGTTGGTATGCCTTGAACTTTGAATAGGCGACTCAAGGATGCCTTCCTTTCATCACCAAAGGGAAGAGCCAGCCATGGCATTGTAGCAAAATAGTCATCAAACGAAGCTTGATCTTGATCACTAGATATGAAAATCACTTCCAACGGACCACTTTTGGCTTTAATCTTTTCATATGCTTCTTTAAGCTTTGGGGTAAAAGCACGGCATGGCGGACACCAGTGTGCTGAGAAGTAAAGGAGAATATTCTTCCCTACAAGATCAGACACCAGAATCTACAAAGAGAAAATTTTGGTCACTTGCTCTAATTTAGGACAAGAGTAAGACATCTAACTGAAAAAGGTGTCACGTTAATTATAGTAGTTATAGCAAAGCCTTGGTTTATTTATCAGCAGATGATTGTGGAACTCCAAAGCTCCAATATCTCATTTAAAAATACCTTAGGTTGGACTCGCCTTACAAAACGATATAAGTATATGCTATAGATATGTCATAGTCCTTTGTTAAATTTATAGGAAAAGTTTAGGAGTCTGAACAAAGTCCCTATAACTACGTCAGTTGATACGTTAAGGCAAATAAAAGATCCATGTTCTATGACATAACAATAATACCAAGATGTGATATTTTCTTCCTACCTTTTCACCGTCTTTTCCAATGACGAAATCATGATCTCCAGTGACCAAAATTGACTCCAGTGTTTGTGCTTCTCGCTTAGCTTTCTCTATCTGCTCAAGTTCAGCAAACTTCTCGGGGGTAAAAGGAAATGCCAGGATGCCATGCTCCTCGATGGCTTCAGCAACATTAGAATGAAGTGTCTTCCCATCTGTTCCAATGATGACTAAGGTAGGAAGGGTAGAGAGCTCAAAGTACCGGGCGAGCTTCTCACAGGTCCTGTCTTTTAAGGGAAGTGAATACCAAGGCATGCTTGCAAACTCTTTCTTAAAAGATTCATCATCATCTTCACCATCAAGGGGAATCATCACAACCTCAAAGTTTTCCCCCTGCGCCTTCAATTTGTCATACATATTGATCAGCTTCCGAGTAAATAATTCACATTCTTCGAAAGAGGTCATTGAGAAATACAGGCCTACAATCTTGCCTTCAAGCTCAGCAACAGGTACCTAATAGTAATCAAGACACAGTAGTTAGGGAAATTTTAATTAAAGAATAAGAATAAAATATGCAGGAAAAAGAACCAGCATCTTGAATCAACCTTCCTCCCATCAGCTGCAACTACATAGTTTCTTGACTGTGACTCCAAGATAGATTTCAAAGATTGTTCTCTTTTAGCTGTTTCTTCTTGCTCTTTAAGTTCATTTAGCCGTTCTTGAGTAAAAGGGTAACCTTCCACCCCATGCTCAAGGATGATCTCAACCCCGTTATCTGTCACTACCTTTCCACTGTCATCAAGGATCACTAAGTGGGGTATTCCCTTAACAGCAAACAATTCATCCAGACGTTTACGTGTTTCAGAATCAGAGAATGGGACAGCAAGCCACGGCATTTTAGAGAAGTACTCCTTAAATGATTCATCATCCTCGTCAGCAGTAAGGAAAACAACTTCAAAGTCTCCTTTTGGTAGGAGCTCATTGTACGCCTCTACCAAATTCGGGGTGAAATGTTGGCATGGACCACACCATGATGCCGAAAAATACAAACCAACTTGTTTCTCCTTCAATGCATCAAGCTTAACCTGAGATTCATATATGTGAGTAAATTAGTTAATCTTTTAATCAAAGCTAGCGACTAATTTCCAAAATTCACCTTAGCCCTTTTCTAACACACATGTCTATACCAATAAAACTAAAAAGTCAGACATGTGAAAAAAAGATGCATAGCATATACAATTGAACTACATTGAAAATGTTGTACTTCTACTCTTCTACAGAAACCAGAAATGGCAAAATCAGATAGTGGTTCTAAAATCCGCCACAAAAGATACTCGAACATTAATAAAAAATAGTCAGAGAAAACACTTCTGAAAGATGACTCCTGTCACACCTCACTTTCTTATTCTTGGAAACACCTTATACTTCAAAAACATATTATCATATTTCAAATTTTAGGAAAAGCTATTCCCACGAAACCCGACCACCCGACCCAAACAACTTTTTGCAACAGTTTCCTTGAAATGAACAACATATATTTGGTTAACAAAACGAATTGTTTTCAGAAAAACAAAACAAAATGAAAAAAAAAAAACAAAATAAGATTTTTTTTTTTCATTCCAACTCAAACCATTAAGAATAGAAGTAACCAAGATCAACCCAAACTTACTTCCACAATATCTCGCTAACTCTTGAATATTTACTTTGATCTTTTATGTATGTTACATTTTCTTTTAATTATTACATGTTTAATCCCTCCAATTATTGTGTTCATAATTTTCTTAAAAGTACTTTCATCTTATTTTTTAAACCTGTAAAATACTTAAAAAATTCTATTTAAAATTATTTTCATACTTTTCATGTTACAAACTTCTCAAACTCTTATTCAGGTTGACTTATGGATATTCTTTATAACATTCCTAAACCGTAGGTGGAGTAACTATTGTGGATAGCTTTGCAAAGTACAACAACAACAAAAAACCCACTAAAATCTCACAAGTGGGGTCTGAGAAGGGTAGTGTGTATGCAGACCTTATCCCTACCTTACGAAGGTAGAGAGACTGTTTCCGAAAGACCAACGGCTCAAAAACATTAAAAATGAAGCAATAGAGAAACAATAGCAACAGCAAGGTAATAAGACAATGGAAGCAAATATTACAACGAGTAATAACAAAGATCCATGGATATGAAACTACAAGAATAGTGCCAATTCTACCGATAATAATGACACACCGTATAAAAACAAGGGACTAGGAATAAGAAAATACCCGACTAGTACTACTACCACTGGTAAGACAAGGCGACAAGGCGAAACTCTAGACTGTCTATCAACCCACCACCCTAATTCTCGACCTCAGCACCTTTCTATCGAGGGTCATGTCCTCGGTAAGCTGGAGCAGAGCCATATCCTGCCTAATCACCTCACTCCACTTCTTCTTAGGCCTCCCTCTACCCCTCCTCTGACTTGCCGAGGGCAAAGTAAAGGGTTATAAATCATAAATCTCTCTTTCAGAATAACAAATCAATCCAAACAGTTTAAAGAATTTCCATTCGAAAGTCATCTATCAAATTTTGGAAAACTTTTTCCAGGACATTCTCAAAAAATTGCCCAAGGCCTAGATCAATCTCAGAAGAAGATTTCTTACTTAGACAAAAAGGAACTACTACCAAGGAACGTGGGTGGATAGATGCATTTCCGCTACCCTTAACCAGAGGTCTTTGGGAATACAGAATATCAGGGTAGCAAGCTCTCCCCATTTAATGGGCCCTATGCGGGTCGAGAAGGGGATTAGTCGAGCCAATAGGTTCTGGATACCGGATTGTTAACCAAAAGAACAACAACAAACTATAATCAGATACTCCAATTCAAATCCAATTCATCATTTATCAACATCATCTACCACATTTCTGCTACAATTTACTTCACTATACCAAAACATTAGTAGAAACATGCATTTATCATTAGAATCAGAAGAAAAACTCAAAACACACACAGAGAACAAACCCAAAATCGGGCTTTATAACATACACAGTAAAAGTTAATGAATATTCAATTCTTATAACTCACACACACACACACACAAAGAATTTATTGAAGTATAGATACCTGGTCACCGTTGTTGCGAATGAGAAAGTCACGATCAGAAGAACCAAGTAGCTTCATCAGATCATGAGAATCGTCCCCAGCCATTTCCCTAATCAGCCTCTTTGTTTCTCTTTTTCGTGATACTAACAAAGTTATGTAGTCTATGCAACAAAATATTAAGACTTAGATACCAAGTAGCACATACTTGGACCTGCTTATATAGGGGCAAATAAAATTAATTAATGAAGAATAGAGAAAACTCTCTAGGAAAACTCTCTAGATTCTTCTGAATTAGCGATTAAGACACAACATATTTGTATGAAAAAGAGAAAGACGACTTTGGGAGTGGACTAGCGGTTGAGTGAATATTTTATGCACAAGATGTTTCATGGAACATTTTTAAAATTGCACGGGGCGTCCTATTTGGGTACCTCTTTTTAACCTGTAGCCGCTTTGTCTTTCTGTTTGCACCCGTACCCGTTTTTTTGTTAAAAGCCTTTAAAAAGATTATTTTTCCCTTCTTTATTAAAAGACTACTTTCTCTCCAAATATACTGTCTCTGTTTCTCTCTCCCGTTATTGGCGTTTTTTGATTTGTTCTTCTCTGAAATCAGACGGTTTTCGTTGTTGTTTTGATTTTTCAACTGCTAGTCGTCGTTGTTCCCACATTACGATTTAATCATAGGTACATTGTATTAACTTTGTGGGTTTTATTTTACGATTTAATTTCTGGTTTTGGTCTTGATAGTCATGTATTTATGATAAAATAGTTTCTATGTTTGATAAAATAATTTCTGGGTTTAGTTTGATACGTGCATTAGTTTCACTTTTACGATTGTGTTTTTAGGTTTTTGAACGAGTGTTTATGTTGTTGATGAAAATTCTATAAATTCTTCAGTGATTAGACGTCCAAAATTTTAAAAATTTTGAGAGTTAAATAGATGATACTATTAAAGTGTGAAGTTTATAATAGTTCAATGATACCTTAGATAGGAGTTGAAGTTTTTTTTTTTTCATGTTTTGGCATTATTTTTGGATTTGAATTTGTGTTTTGTTGAATGTTTTGTGTTTGTAACTGGTGAAGTTCAGCTTTAGGAGCTGAAGTTTTTGTGTTTGTAACTGGTGAAGTTCAGCTTTAGGAGCTGAAGTTTTTGTGTTTGTAACTGGTGAAGTCCTGCTTTAGGAGCTGAAGTTTTTGTGTTTGTTACTGGTGAACTTCAGCTTTAGGAGCTGAATTTTTTGTGTTTGTAACTAGTGAAGTTCAGCTTTAGGAGCTGAGTTTTTGTGTTTGTAACTGGTGAAGTCCTGCTTTAGGAGCTGAAGTTTTTGTGGTTGTAACTGGTGAAGTTCAGCTTTAGGAGCTGAAGTTTTTTGTGTTTGTAACTGGTGAAGTCCTGCTTTATGAGCTGAAGTTTTTGTTTTTGTTACTGTCGAACTTCAGCTCTAGAGCTGAAGCTTTTGTGTTGTAACTGGGAAACTTCAGCTCTAGAGCTGAAGTTTTTGTGTTGTAACTTTTTGTCTTTGTAACTATGGAACTTCAGCTTTCTTAGGTATTGAAGTTTTAACTGATCTTTTATTAGTCCTGATGTTATTTTTTTTATCTTTTACTTTTTTTTGAACAGATGGCTCCTAAAGCACCTAAAGATCCTAATGCCGCTAAAGTAGGCAAAGCACCTAAAGCACCTAGACAACCTATAATACCCCCAGGTCCTTATGTCCCTGCTCCTCCACTTACAAGACCAGGGCAAAGATATTTTGAGTTTGGAGATTGGTTTAACTGTAAGGGTTACTGGAAGGGGAACCATGATTTGAAGAAATTAATTGCAACTTTCTTGACTCCTACACAACGGGATAAGCTTAATAATGGTACATTTCGATACATTATGGCTATGGAGAATTTTCAATGCAGCATGAAGTTGGTTCATTGTCTGTGTCTTTCTCGAATATTCACCAATGATCGAGACTCCATTAGTTTCAAGATTTTTGGTCATGATGTTTCCTTCACCCTTGAAGACTTTCACATTATGTGTGGTTTGCGGATCACAACACATAATGTTGAAAAACCAATTAATCGAGAGAGCAATATTCTGAAGCGGTATTTTGGTAAGTCCAAGGGTGTGACTTTGAAGGATATTCGAAGTTTTATGACTCGCAATGAAATTCCAAAGAATGCTGTGAATCACGTAAACATATGCGAGACTGATGATGATGCTGTTAAGCTTATGGAAATTCTTGTTGTAGAGTCTATTTTCTTTGGGAATAATACTGAGTCATCTGTGATGGAGGAGTATGCATCTATTGTTGAAGATGATAAGGTTTGTGCTGAATATCCTTGGGGTAATGTGGCTTATGAGAAGCTCATTTATTCACTGAAACATGCATTGGACAAGCAGAACAAATTACATACAACTGAGTATAAAGTTGGTGGATTTCCATATCCGTTATGTGCTTGGTTCTATGAGCGCTTCCCAGATGTTCGGGCGAAGTATATAAGAGAGGATGAGTACCTTGATACCCCTCAGGTTCCCAGGATGTTACGTTATGTATGTGTGGGAGAGCCTAAATTTCCCGAACTTTTTCATATGTTCAGTACTCATGAAGTAAGTTACTTTTTTTTGTCTTTGTGTTAATATGTTGATGTATTAGTTTTTTCTCCTCATAATATACTTTTTTGTATTAAACAGGGATATCGCAACTTTAGGGTATTGGATATAATTCCTAGAGAAGAGGAATTAGAATTCAATGTCTTTAATTGGACAACTACCATGTAGCCGGATTCGTTCAAAGGTAGGTAATGCGGTTCCTTCAACTGGTGAATCACCACGTACTCTGAGTCGATCAAAAGAAGCGAATCGTGGTCCTGTTATTGGTGAATCACCACGTATTCGGAGTTGATCAAAAGAACCGAATCGAAGTCCTTTTATTGGCGAATCATCTCGTACCCAGAGTCGTTCTAACCGTTCTACATCTGACTTTGATGACAATGAATTACTTGACACAATATGTTATGTAAGTTTTGATCTGAAGTTTTTTGGTTTTGTTTTTGTAAAAGTAGAACATGTTTTTGAGCTGAAGTTTTCTTCTATATCTGAATTTTTGTTGTGTGTCTATTCTAGAGGTTAACGACGGAGGTTCAAAGGCTGAAAGAAGCACGATCGTGAACGAAGTTTTCGATAAGTTTAAAAAGGATGAGCGATCTGCCATTGTTGATGCGGTTTTTGTAAAAGTGAAGGTACCTAATTTATAGAGAAGTCTTTTTATTTCTGCTGATGTTATTCAGATTAATCATTGTTAGTAATTTTTGTTCTAGGAATATTTCGATGAGAAGTTTGAACAGTTGTTTAAGATTGTCAACAAATCAAATGAAATGGACGATGGCAATTTTGATTTGAGTAACATCGAGAATATGATAGGGTGAACGACTGTTACGAACATCCATCGGATATTAATGCTGTTAATGATGCATCAGATAAAGTCGCAGATATAAATGCTACACATGAGGAAGCGGCTTTTGAAGGCGATCAACATGTTCACGAACAAGCTGAAGAGGAACGTTCCAGTGCTGATAGATTAAGCAGAGATGGAAATGATGAAGAACAGTTAGCAACTGAGAATGTTGGAAGCAAGCAATGTGCAGATAATCAAGTTGAAGAAGATGCTGCTCATGATCCATCGCGTAAAGTCGCAGATGATAATGCTACACGTAAGGAAGCGGCTGGTGAATGCGATGAACATGTTCAACAACAAGGTGCAGATGATCAAGTTGTTGGTACTGAAAAACATGCACCGAGTTGTTCTTTGGAAAGCGATATTGGACAGGGCAATTTGTGTGATACGCAGGAAATTGTTACTACAGGTATAAAGTGTGAAGTTTATAATAGTTCATAAAAATATCTAACAAAAAAACACAAAACATGAAACAAAACTTCAGCTGAAGATTTTGAACTAACTTCAGCTAACTGAAGTTTTGTTTTGTAACGTCGAACTTCAGCTCTAGAGCTGAAGTTTTTGTTTTTGTAACTGTCGAACTTCAGGCTTCTTAGAGATTGAAGTTTTAACTGATCTTTTTGATAATGTCCTGTTATATACTATGTTATATATATAGAAAAACTAGTTGATCTATTCCCCCTCTTTATGAATATGCAGCGGAAGTTGAAACTAGTTGTGCTTCAATTGACACAACTCAAAAACACTCTGATGATGCTGAATTGAATGAAGGTAGAGTTGAGAAAAACCTTCCACAGAATATTCCAATGCTCCTCGACGTTGGTGCACAATTGAATGAAGCTGGAAATGCTGATATCGAGAAAGGCATGCAGCCTGGGGAAACCACAGCGGAAGACAAACGTCAAGGTATTCTGTAGATCATGAATTTATTACATTTGATCGAAGTATATTTTTTACAGTTTGAAATTTTACATATTTTATTTTCTTTGTTATGTTTTTGAATGATTTTTCAGAAATACTTGAGGCAGCTCAAAAAGAATTTGGTGAGCTTATGCAACAATATCAAAAAGGAAAAATACATTTATTCACAACTGTTGGCTCACAGACAGGTGTGAAGTGTGTTGGTATTATTTTATAAAATTTAGTCAGTATTATTTATATATATTTTTTTTCGCATGAAGATACAGGCATATCTAAAGGTAAAGGAAATGGATCTGTTAGAATGCAAACACCATCTGTGTCTCAACACTTAGACCGGGTAGTTATTTTCTGCAATTCGATTACAAGCTGTTTTTTTTCCTAATGTGTGTTTTGTATCAGTTTTATTTATATTTATATTTTCCTTGCTTTTGCAGATCTCATCTGATGCATTGCAACTTCTTCCAAATCCTAAGAGAAGGAAGATTTCCAGTTCTCCTATGTGTGACACCAGTGATATCCCCAACTTCAATTTATGTTCATTTTCACTTGGTAGTACACAAGGGACTGATTCAGAAGGTAATTCTGCTGTTGTTGTTGTTCGTGAAGAGATACAAGAACATCGTGAACAGCATTGAGTTGGTCAAGCATCTGCCACGATGGCTGTTGTTTCTCCCCCTGCTGCTGAACAGCAGCAGTTAGTTGTGACGGAACAGCAGGAAGAGCAAGCAAAAGGAAAAGTAGATAAAAAAGGAAAAAGGATTCGTATGGAGAGTATTTGGTTGAGATCTCCTTACGTAGTTCATAAACAAAAGAAAAGGGGGCACGATTGGAAAGTAGGAAAGAATACACGAAGGTGTCCCTTCCATTATGTAAATCAAGATAGTGGATTGATGCAAAGATTTACAGAGTGGTTGAAGATGGATGCCAGTGAATATGATTCCAATCAATTCAGATTAGCTGGAGTTGATATTCCAAAATCATTCTTTACCGAGCTTATGGATCCTACCTCCGATCTTGCAGATGAAGTAAGTTATTAAGTTTGTTTTTTGAATTGGTTTTCAACTGTATTTCCCAAAACTTTAGCTTCTTTTTAATAGTAAAGTTTTTGTACTGTAATTTGGAAAACTTCAGCTTTATTCATACTAAAATGCTGAAGTTTTTTAGCTTATTTGCTAAAACATCAGCCTAACCGTGCTGAAGTTTTTGACATGCATTCTCTAGTTTTTTTCAAAACTTTTAAATCAAACACGCTGAAGTTTTTTAGATTATTTTCTAACACTTCAAACTGAATATGCTTAAGTTTTTGTCATGCTGTTTGTAGTTTTTTCACATGTTATCATTTGTTGTTGTTCATTTGCAGCATATGGATGTGGGCATATATTACTTGCGCAAAAAATATTGCTATCACCTTCCAGCTTATCCAAAATCAAGATGTGCAGTAACAGATTTAATTTTTGATCAGTATATGACTAAGCTGGCTGGTATTCATCCTTCAGAAGAACAGTTGGATAAAATTACAAAAAGGAAGCAAAAGAGAATGGAGGATCAAAAAAAGAGCAAATCAAAGAGAAAGAGGATATCCAAACAACAGGCTCAAGAAGAAGAAGAAGAAACGCTTATTCGGCCACTTACGGACTTTAGTTGGTTTGAGTAAGAATCAACGAATGAAAAGGTGGCCAACAACGTAAGAGGCCTCGACCTTTCCTGTGGTATCTCATGGGCATCTGCCAGAAAAATATTCTTTCCATTTCGACTTAAGCCATTGACGGGCCAGAAAACTACGCACTACTTTTTTGGAATTCTGGACTTAAAAGATAAAATTATATATGTGTATGATTCCATGGGCAGTGTAACATATGAGCGTGCGGTTGAACATGTCAAAAATTATGCCCGGTTGATCCCACATTGTCTCAAATGCTTGAAATTTGGGGCACACAATAAATTTTATGGGGCTAGTCCTGTGGGAAAATTTCAAATTAAGTGGATGACCTCACCGCAGCAGACTAACAAGTACGTGTTTCGCATATGTTTTACCATGCATCTTATGTTTATTATTTTTTGCCCTTTGTGTTAACTATTTTTCATGTTCTTTTTGTAGTGTTGATTGTGGTGTATTTGCTCTTAAGTTAATTGATATGAGGTTGAATAAAGAAGATGTCTTCAATTTCGATCAAAGTCAGACATTGACATTCAGGAGAGAATTGGCTGCCAATCTTTGGGCTCATGGAAAGTGAAAAAAAGATAGCGGCTATGAAACTCCAGAAGAACAACAAGGACATGATTATGGAGATTTTGAAGAGACTGTGTGTGAATTTTTTGATTAGAGGATTGGTTGCACAGAATTTGTATTTTGTGAATATACATTAAGTATTATTTTATTTCACTTTTGTTCATACAAATATGTTTGTGTCTTTTATCATGAATTTTAAGTACATTTTTGTTGAAAAAACTTAAGCATGAAGTAAATGAGTTCTGCTTTTTAAGCTGAAGTTTTGGTTAAAAGTCATAACAAAAGTGTCGACTGTAGGACAAAAACTTCAGCTTATCAAATGCTGAAGTTTTTAGAAATACACGAAAAAACTTCAGCACATTTGGCTGAAGTTTTTTGAAAAACCTGTACGAAAAAACTATTGAATCCAACAGAAAAACTTCAGCTTATCAAGAGCTGAAGTTTTTAGAGATACACTAAAAAACTTCAGCACATTGGGCTGAAGTTTTGTTTGAAAAAGCTGTACGAAAAAACTATTGAATCCAACAAAAACTCTTCGGCTTATCAAGAGCTGAAGTTTTTAGAAATACACCAAAAAACTTCAGCACATTGCGCTGAAGTTTTTACGAGAAAAACTTTATTATGTTTCGGTATTTTTTTAACTTGATACTTATCTTTTTTGCATTTTCTAGCTACTTTTTATCATTTATCACCTATATCACCTACTTTTTGTGGCCTTATTTTTTACTATTTTTTTATTGCATTTACCAACTACTAGCATTTACCACTTACTTGTTTTGCCAAATATGTTTGTGTCTTTTATCATGAATTTTAAGTACATTTTTGTTGAAAAAACTTAAGCATGAAGTAAATGAGTTCTGCTTTTTAAGCTGAAGTTTTGGTTAAAAGTCATAACAAAAGTGTCGACTGTAGGACAAAAACTTCAGCTTATCAAATGCTGAAGTTTTTAGAAATACACGAAAAAACTTCAGCACATTGGGCTGAAGTTTTTTGAAAAAGNTACGACAAGACATCAAGGCAAATATACTACTGAGCGCTCGCGTGCGCATACAGACGTGTGGAAGGAATTTCAAGAGTTATATCTCAAGCTGAATCAAGTACGCACGATAAGAATTCCAAGAATGGGAAGTTTTCCTAAAGGTTCTGCAACCCCTCGTGGAGAAATATAGGCGTCCCCATATCGTTCCACGAGACTCTACTAAACCGGCTCATGACTCATGAGGCCTAGTAACCTAGGCTCTGATACCAACTTGTCACGACCCCAAACTCGGTCGTGATGGCGCCCAACACAAATGCTAGGCACGCCCGACCATTTACTCTCTCAACCCGAGCACAAAGCTCAAAACCAATTAATCAGATACTTAAAATCAATTATTAATACTCATAGTTGAAATACTCAATTAAAACAATACGAAATACTGACATAACTGTAACTCCCAAAGACCTGGGGTCATGAGTCTAGAGCCTCTAACCAATACAGAGTCAAAAATCCTCAAAATAAGTATGTTCTAAAGTACGGAAATAATAAAGGGATAAGGGAGGAGTCGGGTCCTGCGGACGTCATAGCAGCTACCTTGACCGCTCCTAGAACTCTGGAAACCAGCGGCTAGCTCAACTAAGCTCCCGAAGTACCTGAATCTGCACACAAGGTGCAGGGAGTAGGGGGTGAGTACTACCAACTCAGTGAGTAATAAGCATATAAAATGTCTGAAGATAAGAAATCCACGAAATACCACAAAGCAAAGCTAACACTAACAATCCTACACCTTACTATGAACCAACAGCAAAGCAACTTCAAATATAACAGTCAAGTAAAAATGTAATGATGCAATGCAATGCACATGACCGCTACGGCGCGCAGCCCGATCCATTTAACGTCGACGGCGCTCACTGGGGGTGTGTACAGACTCCGGAAGGGCTCCTTCAGCCCAAGCGCAATATAATAATATCATTCGCTGCGGCGTGCAGCCCGATCCATACTCAGTCCACAATATGCATATGAGTCACGTAACAGATTCAATTAATTTCCTCATTTCCAATTTATTAAGAAGAATATACTTTAGATATTTAACTTCAGGATAAGTGACTTAGCGTTTCATAACAGTGATTAAACACAGGACTGAGATCAATGATTATACAAAGCATGCTATCACAATGACAATCATCCTCTAAGGATGCTACAGATCGGCACAAGGCCCCAAACACGGCAATAAGCCCAGATATATTCAATACAGGGTGCGTATCAGTCGCCAATATAGAAACACTCTTGTTCGGGATGGACTAAGTCTCAATCCCCAGTCATAACCAATCCCGCACCTGCCATGGGGTGCGAGTCACGCCCTACAATAGCGTCACAATGTGATAAGCCGGGGTTTCAAACCCTCAGGCCATCATATACACCAACTACTCACCTCTTACCGGCCGTAGAATGGTCTGCAATGCCTTTTCCTTTCGTATCGACCTCCTCGCGCGTCAAATCTAGTCACAATCACAACGAATACATAAATATGGGTTAAAGAAACATAACCCAATCAAAAATACTCGAAAAGTACCAAAATTCACGCAGTTGGTAAAACCGGAGCCCCGGGCCCACTTCTCGAAAAATTCCGAAAATCACACCAACAGATTCCTCGTCTCGCCACGAGTCCGTGCATATAAATCGGAGCTCGTTTGACCCTCCAAATTCTATTTTTACACCACAGCTTTCCAAGCCCTAGCTTGACCCGTTTTTGATAAATTTTCTACAATTTACATGTAATCTCTACCATAAATTCGAATATTTAGGCCAAGGAACTTACCTCCAAGTGATTCTCAGTCAAAACCCTTGAATTTCTTTGTTCAAAGCTCTTAAGAACGTCAACAATGGAGGAAAAATATGAAAGGGTCGCGGATGAAATATTATTTTAAAACCCTTCTGTCGCCCAGCGATTTTCGCTTCTGCGGTCCCGCTTTCGCTTATGCGGGACCGCTTCTGCGGTTTTTCATTAAATCCTTGGCCTTCCGCTTTTGCGCCCAACCATCCGCTTCTGCGGATCTCACCATTCCGCTTTTGCGGCCTCGTTTTCGCCTATGCGGACACGCTGAAGCGATACCCCGTCCGCTTTTGCGGAATTACCCCGGTCCCTCGTGGATCGCTTATGCGATCTCTTAGCCGCATCTGCGGAACTGCTTCTGCGGCTCCTTTTC